TTGTTGATGCACTGCTCCTGATGGGCTGTGTTTGTAAGTTGTTCTTCTAATTAAAAACATGGGTGATTTTGTGGTGGTAAAAAACACCTTCAGAGGTGTGTAATAGTATCCCTGGATAGAAACAAAATAAAACAGCCTGAGTGGCCTTTTGTGTCCCTACTTCTGAACCAGGAGGCCTGGGTTCAATTCCCAAAGGTGTGTACAACATCTCTGAACAGGTTGATCAGAAAATACCTAGAACAGCTTGTGATAAGTTCTTCGTCACATCACAATGACCTCTAGGCTCTGTAACCTGAAGTTGCGCCTACTGAGTTTTGCAGAAGTGTTACGCAGTGTTGCAATGCCTTGGCTTTACAGATTATCAGATTTGGAATTGAAGTCAATTTATTTTGTTCTTTTCTCTTTGAGCAGATCCCTGTTTCTTATTATCCCCCTGGGCAGTACCAAAGCTCCAACCAGCAGTACCGGCCTCTCTCCCAGGTTCCGTACAATTCTCAGCGCAGCCAACAGCTGCCTCAGCCAACACAACAAACAGGTTAGTGAAACACTGTCTTTAGATTATGTTACTCTTCAGATTTGTTGATATACATGTCAAAAAAAATTTGTAATTGCTCCTCAGTCTTCATGTTTCAACTTTTGGTGAGCTGCATGTCAATCAATTAAATTTAGTTTTCTTCCCTTTTAGCATTCTGCACACACTGCTGTAGAGAGGTATTGCCTCTGTGTCATTTTGCAAGGAACAGTCATTTAGAACAAACTTCTTATAGGACATTAGGGATGTTGTGCACGTCACTTTTCCAGCATTGTTTGTTTAAACCACATCTTCACTATTTTAATCCATTTGGGAAATTATTCATGCATCAGTATTTTAATCTGACTGACCTGTTCAAGTTGTTGACATCTGTCCATTTTTCTCTTGGCATAAAGATTTATTTAAAATGTAGCTACGCTTGTTGCTTTAGATTTTTCTTATTGAAACACAATGTACAACAACCTCCAAGAATTGTTTGCAGTTTTCCACTTAGGTTTGTTGGACCAATGCTAGTGTGTTTAATGAACTTTTGGAGCAACGGATCCAGAAAAAAACTAGAATAATGGCTTAGGCAGGTGTTTTTGGAAGACTGCTGTGCTAAAGTCAATCAAAAAGAGACCTGGTTTCACATCTCACAATTGTAGTAATAAAGCTGTTTGTAACATGCTTGATTACTGCAATATAAACATTTGTTTCAGTGTCTTAATGTGTAAATTCAGATGCTCAAAATGGTTTCCCCAGGGGAACAGAAATTTTCCTGACTTATTGTCTTATTTGTTTTGCTGATCTTGCAAAGTTTTCAACTCTGGTATATTCCATAATAATTTTGTAAATCGGCTGTGATTCTTCCAGAAACGCAAAATTGATATCTGAATATTTGCCCTGAAATATTGCATTTTGAGCTTTAATGTTCGGATGCCTCTAATGATCTAACTTGGTAGCACTGTACACATTCAAGAATGGAGTGTTTTGGTGCTTGTGCTACAATTCCTGTTCAGTTGCAGAACTCAGAACAGTTTTGAAAGACAGTGAGGTAATTTTTGAGATAGTAGGAACTGCAGATGCTGGAGAATCTGAGATAACAAGGTG